TCATTGTTCTAGACATTTAATTTTTCAAGGCAACTCCCTTTGTAATATATCTTTAATTTTCTAGTAATGCATATTTAATTCTTCAAGACGATCGCCTTTACAACATGATCTTGCAATGCATCTTTAATTTTTTAGTAATGGATATTTAATTTTTCAAAATGATCGCCTTTACAACATGGTTCTACTATGCATCTTTGATTTTTTAGTAGTCTATATTTAATTTTCAGAATTGGCCACCCTCTAAGTTGATCGTGTATCGTATGTTTAATTTCGGGATTTACCGCCCTCCAAGTTGGTCGTGTACTCGTATATTTAATTTTTCAGGATCGATCGTCCTCTAAGTTGGTTGTGTATTGCGTATTTAATTTTCGTGGTTGGTCGCCCTCCAAGTTTATCATCTATTGCATATTTAATTTTTTATGTATTTCACTTTACTTTTGAGGGGCGAGTCGCCTACACAATGACATTATTGCATTTTTTGTTTTGTTTGGAACAATGAGTCAAGCATAACCAAATCTTCTCATTTAGTCATCTACTTTTCTTCTTTTCTTTATAAACTCACTAAGAAAATCCAAACCGAAGCTCATACCTCGGCTAGTATTTTGTTTATTTTACTTTTGTTTGGTTTTTTTTTTAGTTCATGCTTAACAAAAGTAAAAATTTTAATTAAGAAAAATAGAGAAAAAGAAAAAAAGAATTTTTATTTATTATTTTCAATCGTTACATAAAATAAAAATTAAACAACAAAAAAGAAAAAAACAAAGATGGAGGAACACTTCCCCCTATCTCATGCACAAATTTTCAGCAATTTTCCTTCCCCGGGAATTAATTTGGTTCCCAATTTCAATTTGGAAAATCCAGTCTTAGTAACCTTGTTTCCCTAAAACCAATTTGATTCTTAGTTTTGCCTTTAAACCTCAACTTGCCCTATCCTTTTGGCTCCAAAGAATCGACCACTCCGAGCAGCCCTCACTCGCTCTAATTTACGACCCACAACCTCCTCTCCATGGTCAACAATCTCGACACCCCCTTCCTGTTGCAGTCATGTTATTGTCTACTTCCACTCGTTAGCCTTTAATAGCCGACAATCTTCATCCTCCTTAAGTCAATCTCCCGCCATCCATCCCGCTCGGCCCACAACTAGTCGCAGCATTGCAGCCACTCTCCTATGCTATAGCCCGTAACTTCTCCCCATACCTTGCCGCACAACCCACAATCCACTCTCCCCAAGCCAATCTCTAACGGTCTCACCACTACACAACCCATAAACTCAATCCCATCTAACCCCCGTTTGATGTCTTGTAGAAAAATCTCACATCATCATGGTGGAGAACCAAGCCAATGTTTTACACACATATATAGATATATGAAGAGATAGAGTTCACACACAAAAAAAAAAAGGGTTCGATCTAAAATAAAAGAGAGATTAGCAAAAAAAAAAAAAAAAAATTGAAAAAAAATCAACAAACAAAAAAACCTAAACTGGATAGTAGCAAAGAAAAAAAAAAGGAAAGAATTTACTTGTTGGAGCAACTAAATCCCATCACTCTTTTGGAATCAATTTCATCTAGGTAAAATAATTTCTCTTTAATTTTCAAAATTTAATGTCAATTTTTAATTTTTGGAAGGTTTTGTTGTTTGGTTAGAAATTGATCTTAAGGGTTAAAATTATGGCTAATTGAGTTCAATTGGATTTCAATTTAGGGGTTCTAAACCCGGAGTTGAACTCAATTGAATTCAATCAAAACCTAGTGGTTCCTTGGTATCTTTGAACAAAATTAAATTAGGGGGTTTTTAAGAAATTAGGTCTATGAAGGTGTGAATTAACTTGATTTCAAAGGAAATCAAGTCAATTAGGCTCCGTTGAAAGAAAAAATAAGAAATTGAAAACCTAGGGTTTCGACCAAAATTGGAGAAGAACTTTGAGAAATTGATTTAGGGGTTTTGATTGGAGAAGAAAGAGAAAGAAGGGAGGAGAAAATGAAGGAAAGAAAAGGGAAAAAATCAGGTGGCCATGGAGGAATCATCACTGGTTAGTCCATGGTAGTTTCGATTAGGAGAAAGAAAGAAGAAGAAGGAACGAAAAAAGGAAGAAAAGAAGAAAAGGAAAGAAAAGAAAAGGGGAAAAGGAGGGATGAATCAATCTAGTTTGTCCATGGTAGTGACCTAGAGAGAGAGGAAGAAGAAAGAAAAAGAAAGGAAGAAGAAAGAAAGAAGAGGAAACGAGAAAGAGAGAGAGAGAGAGAGAGAGAGAAGAAACAAAAAGGGGCTTTTGATCTAAAATTTTTAAAATCTTGATTTGGGTTAAGATTTTTTTAGAAGTGTGGGTTGGGCTTACATGTGGTAGGGTTATGTCGCCGACTTGAAATTTTCCTTTTGGGTAGGCTCGGACAATCCAGCTCGAGTCCTTTTTTTTTAAAAAAAAAGAAGTAAAAACGAAAAAAAATGTGTCTTAGTTTTCAATTTCAAATTTATTTTTATGTTTGTTTCTTATTTCATTTTTAATTTAGATGTTAAATTGTCTTTAATTATTTTTAATGTAAATTTAATCTTGAGTTTATTTTACGCATGTTTATTAGCTTATGTTAACTTAGAATTTCATATTTTAATTATCCGTAATTATTTTAATTAATGTTTATTTAATTGATGTAGCTTTAATTTATTTATTTAGTAATTAGGCTTAGTAAGTAATAGTTGAAGGATTGTCAAGTCTCTTAATTCTTTAGGGACCGATGACGATCTTCCACTAAAAAAAAAGAAATGAAAAAATGATGAAAAAAATAAAAGAGAAAGAAAAATGAAGTAAAAAAAAATCATCATAAAACTTTTAACAAAATCTCATATCCGATAAGGAATATTGTTAGCCAAAAATTCATTTTTTTAAATAAGTGTTCTCCGACACACCGATTGTTTCAAGATTCAAAAAGTGGATTAGATGTTTGAACCAACGTGTCTCCCGATAGAAGGAGTCCGACGATCATTTCAATACGATGCCACGCTAAAAAAAAAAAAAAACTTAATTTGGCTTGAAATAAAGGACTTAAAAAATTGGAGCTTCAAAATTAAAAAAAAATAATTTGGCAAAAACAAAATACTTTAAGAGATAAATTTAGACTTACACTCGACGTGGTACCTTTCTTAGGAAAGGGTGTTTTTGGGTGATTAAATATCTTTTCAAAAGTGTAACCAACTCCTTCTCCTAAAATCTCTAAACCGAGTGCACATTTTAGGTTTCTAGTTCCTTCATACTAGGTGGAGACTCTAAACTTGTAAATAATTCTATAAATAAAAATAAATCTTAAACTTATTTTTTTGGGGTGTCTAGTCCAAAGTCGGGTAGCGACAAAGGTCTAGAACCCTTAGTTAGCCACTCCTCATTTCTTCTTCCTTCGCTATTGTAATAGTGAAGAAAAAAACTAATAAACAATCCTCCAATCTCAAATAAAATAACATTTTAATTTTTCAACTTCAAAATTCATAAAAAAAAGGAAAAAAAGAAAGGAAAACAAAAGAAAAACATGTTATTCTCACTAATTGATCCGATTATAACCTTGCCTATGGTTACTCGCTCTAATGATTGACATTGTTAGGTTGCTCCTCACCCATATGGTCTCACGCATTTTAGTAACAAAAAATTAATTAAAAAATATTACCATAAAATGAAGGACAAAAAGAGACAATGTTGATTAACTTACCTTAAGATGATTTAGGCTATTCATTATAGGATTCATCATCTTTTTGACCAAGCTGGTTGAGCACCACATCCATAAGGACCTTGATCACACCGTCCATTATCTTAGTTTGTTTCCTTTTGACTTGAAGAGTAAGAGATAGAGAAAGGAAGAGATGCACATGATGCCGTAATGAAAAGAGTATTGATTGACTAAGGATAACTGCTAACTCAACAAAAAACCAACATTTGCATTTTTTTATGCAAGATAAGTCAACTATAAAATTTTCAACATGAAACATAGTCCACCTATGAATGAATAAAATAAAATATAGCATCCCAACTTACTTGATTTTCTCAACTAGACATAGTTGCGTAAGCATATCAAGAAAAAAATCTATCATTATCCCTTTGTGCTACCAAATTGCAACCATCACAATAACACACCTTAATATCATACCTCAAAAATTAGAGTATGCATAGAGTGTACCAATTTGTGTATAATAGGATTGTAGTGGGAGAAGGGACGGGAAAAGATGGGGAAGATTATTATATTGTTTGGAAATTCGGGAGAGTGCGTGCACTTCAAGAGTTGGTGAAGCACAAAATAACTATTGGTTTCTATGCGGTCTTCGATTAGAATCACTTTTCCATAAAGACACCATAGGTTAGTCTAGTGGTCAAGGCCTAGGGCTTTGTTTAGGAGATTAAAACTCGCCGGATAGGTGTTGAGTGTAAGAAGAAAAGAAATAGTCGATCGACAATGGGATTGACAACCATTTGAAGGACTACAACAATAAATGATTTGTTATGGATCTAACAAAAACATGATATCTACTCTACCATACCTTACTTGTTTTCCAAATCCCCATCAACCTTTCTCATTAGGAAGGAACAACTCGTTTGAATTTATAAAAACAATATGAACGCAAAATACCAAAAACCTTATCGAATAGCCTAAACCAAATTTCAAGGTGACCCACTTAATCAAACACCTAAATAGGAGATAAAAAACAATTCAATCAAAACCAACCAATCACTTAAATCATAAGCCCATAACAAATTGGTCTTCTCTAAAGAAGTAGAGAAGTAGCGAGAGAGAAAACATCAAAACAAACATTAAGAAAAAAAATAAAGATCCAATAAGAGCTAAATCTTCACAAGCACATATGATTATTGAATAACTTAATTTAAAATAGTAGAAGTTAGCATGAAGTTAGCTCAAGGTAATAGAGAATGAGTAGGTGGATGAAGAATTTAAAGTGAAAAGCATAGGATAAATGTGGAAGAGAGAGAATAAAGAGGTGAGTTTTGGAGAAACTAAGAAATTATGTCTTTGGAAGAGATGGAGATTGTTGTACAGGTGGTGGTGGTGGGTTATGTCATGATGTCTAGGATGTTTTTTAGCCAATCTAACTATCCTTCCAATCCAAATTATGTTATTTGGTTGGATTGGAAAGGGAGGTAAGAAACTGAATAAATCGAAAAACAAAAATATGAGTTTAGTTTTGTATTTATGTTTGTTTATGTGTGGGAGAGATAAGAAAGAGAGAGTAAAAAGATGATAAAGGAAGAAAAATTTCTTTCCTTATCTATTTATTTTCAAACTAGCCTCGAATCATTCTTTATAACTTCGTCTCTTTTCATTTGCCAAATCACAAATGGCCTATCACTCGAAACTTCACTCGTGATTAGGCCTTACCAAAGAATCAAGCCCTTAAGTCCAGCTATGAACAATCTCGCGAAACACCTCTCTCACTCGTCTTTCCAAAGGATCCATTCCTTTCTTTAAAATCTCACAAAAATTTACCAGTTCCTTCATTTTCTTATCTCACCTTTCCTTCTTTTTCCTCTATTAATGAAAACCGAACCCAATTTGTTAATTTTCTCATAAACCTCATACACTTATCCATCCGGTAAAACTCTCTCGCAACTAGTAAGCATTCATATCCCTTTTTTGTGATTTCTCCAAACTCTTCTCGTGTAATGATAACACTAAATGCGTCTATGGAAATTGCTCGGGAATTAAAAAAGGCACTTGCAATCCTTTATCTTGGCATGAAATCACGACCACAAGTGCCCACATTATAGAAAGCAAAATTGTATTCATAGTATAAACATCCATAATAATTCCATCAATGGCCAAAACTTTATTCCCTCACGATGCAACCAAATTGTTCCTAATTGCTTAGTAACTGCTTAGTAGTAGATCATGACCGCGACACACTCTACAACAACGATCTAAAATGCTCAAGATTCCTATGATGCTAGTCCTTGGACGAAGTTTTTTGTCTTTCAAAAGACTAGTTTTTATAAGCCAAAATAGATGTAGTTAAATCCTTCTTATCTAACATAGAAATCCATAAATCAAGCAAACCTTTTTAGTATGGCAAAACTAACCTTTACCAAACATTCTTTGATTATCCAAACCATATAAAACAATCTCAAAAAGCTTCATCCACTCTCCGATCTATTCAATTCCATCATGAATCACATTACAAACATCTAAAACCTTGACGAGTTTATTCAAAAAAATTCGAAACTAACCGATCCAACGATGGTCTATGGACCAACGACTTGTGATTGAATAAATCACTCTAAACTCCTTTTGACAATAAAGGAAATAACAAAAAAGTTTTTGGATCCAATCTAATGAAAGCAAGCGATCATGCCCAATCGATGATAAATCAAGAAGTTCCGTATGTGTGTGTTTTTTTATGTGTGAGAGAGAGAAGAAAGAGAGAGTAGAAGGATAAAGATATAGAAAGATGATTTGGTGAGATTAGGATAAAATTGTATATATGTTTGTTTATGTGTGAGAGAGAGAAGAAAGAAAGAGTGAAATGATGAAGATAGAGGAAGATGGTTTGGTGAGATTGAGATAAAATGATGTTATGGTAGTGATGGTGGTCGAAGGCTCGGTGTCAAGCTATCATGGTTGTAGATGCAATTGCAAAAAGTTTTGGGTGAATAAGAGAATGGTGCATGCTCCTATCTATGAAGATGAAGGCTTGATGAGATTGAGATAAACCGAACTTATATATCATGGTTTCATGATTGTGATTTTTAAGAGTTTTTAAATAGATGGTCGAGATCGAAATAAAGCAATGTTCAATCGGACGATTGAAACAAAAAAAAAAGTACAAACAAATAGATTTGTACAATGATTTAGCAAAAAGGCAAAGAAAGATGGAAAAGAAAAACACTATTGAAAGAACAATGAAAGAAACAAGACATTTGAGTCTTGTGCCGAAGGGAAAAGAATAATGAAAAAGGCTTCTTTTTAAGAGTTTTTGTAATAATTATATCAACTTAAAGTTTACGAAATAATAATATAATATGCACCATGCAATAAATACAAATACTTATTAGTTGGTGATTACTTAAAAATAGTTTCTTTATTACTCAAATAATATTTTTTCCTTCTCTAAGGTAATAAGAATTTATTTATTTATTTTTATTAAAAATATTCTTAATTTTTCATAACTATCATAATCATGGAAAGTTTAGCTAAATTATATATATATATATATATAAAGAAGATAATTTTTTACCATTATTACATTAATCTATTTAATAGTTTATAATCGCTTATTTGTTATAAATTGAATAATATATTTTTTTTGAAAGACAATATATTTTTTGAATCGTAATTTTATAATAGTATTAATAACTAGCATAATTACGATATAATTAATTAATTAATTCACCGATTGATAAAATAAATTGTTATGATATAATAAATAAAAAAATATCTAATAGTTTATAACTTGAAAGTCCTATAATTATAAGTGGAAATGTTTAGTATTCAATTTTAATTGAAAACCAAACTAAATCCAACTATCAATTTTGATTTGATATATATATATATATATATATATATATATATATACCTATATATATATATTTCTCGGCTTTGACTAAACCGAATCGAAAAGCAAAAATAATTTCGGGTCAGATATATACGTATATATATATATATATATATATATGTATATATATATATATATATATATATATATATATATTAAAAATTGACACTCTGAATACCCTAAAGCTAAAGCTGATAAAATAGAAAAGAAGCCGCCTTCCGTCTCCCTTCACCCTCTCTGCCTCTCACTCGCACTGTGGCTAACAGTGACAGTCACTGTTAAACAAGCCAGAGAAGAGAGAACGGCCCTCCCCCTCACCCTCACAGTCCCAGCAGTCCTCCTTCTCGCTCTCACAGCCCCCTCGGTCCTCCCTCCTCAGTCCTTACTCCTCTGATCTCTCAAGATTTGAAGGTACAATTTAAACCTTGCTTGTGTCCTTTGTGTTTTATTTGAATTGTTTTTACGCATCTTGAAGCGACCTTTGTTATTTCAACATGAAAATTCATTGGGTTATCTGGTTTGACACTTTTGTGATTTCTTGGGGATGGATTGCTCAAATCCTTTTAATTTATTTCTTCTTTTTAGTTATGATGTGAATTTTCACTAGACATTTTGACATGGTCTTATAATTAGAGATCTGATCATCTGATTATTGAGCTTTGTATCATTTATGACACTTTCCTATCATTTTCTCAAACCTAATCTGTAAGTGGCCCATGGAAAGTAAAAGCAATGTTTTCAACTTCGCACAAAGAGGTATCATGGTAGTATGCCATTATGTAATTGATGAATAAATTGGTCTCAAATTGCAATGATGGACAGCTGTGAATTCCGATCTGGTCTATGTTTGAATTGTCTGTGATTTCACATGTTCTTATTAATTAGTAATTAAATGAAGCTTCACTCTCTCTCTTTTTTGCTTGCTGGGTCCTTGTTTAGAATAAGCTAAAAGGTAATGCATTGAATTTGAAAGCTATTGCTCCACATGCCTACTCAAAAAAAAGATGTCCCAACATGATTAGACAATTGTAGTATATTAGCTGAATATGTTTTAATACTTTGAAGGCTAATTTTCTTTAAAAATAAAAAGATTTAACCAATCTAAAATAACACAGCAGAAGCTTGAGTTTTCACCAGTATAAATTTTTTAATTGTAATACTGTTTTCTTGTAATATCCTATTTTTGCATGTTAAAATTTGTTACGAGTGACACTAGCATCAGTTATGAACTATTTTTACAAGTGACTAGAATTAAGCAGTTTGGAATTAAACCAATATCAGAAAGAAGGTTTTGGAAATATTCTACTGGTTTACAGAATTGTCTTCCGTAGGAATAACAGAATAAAACAAACGGAATAATAAATTTTTATTTGTTGTTGGTTAGCTTCAACGAAAAATCGTTTAGCCAGAACTGGATGAATTTAGCATCCATTTTCCCTCCAGTATCAGTATATTCACTGGATAATGGACTGCAAAGACAACTTAGTTAAAAAAAAAAAGGAAAGAAATTAAAAATTTAATACAAATTTACTATCTGCAAATCAACCAATTTTATTATTTCCAGGGATGTTTAAATATAGACCCAATTAAAATCTGGCCAAAACTTTGCAAATAAATAAGGACATACTAGTATTGTTGGAAAGGAATTAGATAATTCCTTAGTAGCAGGATTTTTAAAGAATACTGCAAATAACAATGTTTTAAAATCTCATATGCCATTGAACTTCCATAGCAGTAAATTGTTATGGAGAACAAAAACATCAATGTCAAAAAAAAAAAAAAAAAAGAACATTCGCAGATTCCTCCCATCTGTACCAAATCATTGCTAAAACTATGAGACTGCATGGTTAACTTTTATTCAAAATTTCCCAACAAAATGATTTAAAGAGCCTATGAAACTACAGATGCTTTAATAACTTGGGAATTTGGTAATCCATGTACACTCAAACAAATAAACATACAAATAGTGATATGAAAATGCTGGCACTACCACTAGAAAATATCAATTGAAAAGAAGGGGTCAAATAGGGAGTTGTGGAGCAGAATTCAATGCAAGAAAAGTATATGATAAAATGTCTGAGTGAGATTTCTTTTATTTCAAATTCTAAGTTCTTACTTCAACATTGTGTTTGCAGGATGGAAAGTGAATCAAAAGCTGAACTGAAAGAAAAGTTTTCCAAGATTTTTCAAGATTTCTTGACTAGGTAGGTAACAAAAAACATAGACAGCTACATAACAAATACTAAGTTTAGTTGTTACTAAAAGCTTACAAGATGTTGGTAAAACATAGCCTATGCATTTCTTTCATATGGAATGTATAAAACCCTTATGAATAACTAAATTTTGAATTTTAACTTTTTTTTATTTTTATTTGAATGACTGTCCTGTCAATAAAGGGTCACAAAGCTTGATGAACTTGCAAATATTGGAAGTAGATTTCTTAATGGCTATCAGCAAGCGCTTGGTATGTAGGTGGTTTGAGATTATGTTAGAATGTTTTTTTCTCCTTTCTACCCTTTTGTTTTATAGCATTGTTTTGTTTTATTTTTCGTGTAGAATTTCTTCGACGACCTCCGATAGACAGGATATCTCAGTTAATTGAGAACATCATTAAAGCAAATGAAACGAAACGGGTTAAATCTTATATTGAAGCTGGTTGTGTTAATGTTCATGATAGCATACAAAACACCAACAAGTGTAAGTGCAATTGTAATCAATATTTCATGCTTTTTTGTCTAGAGTTTAGTATTTTGTGGTTGTCATTCTGTTTTTGTGTATAACTTATTGGTGTAATTGCTATGAACTTTGGCACTCAGAAGTACGTGCATGTCTATTGGGACTTCATAACCATTTAAGTGAAGGTAATTTTTTTCTTTTCAATGTTAAGTAATATCTTATTATTGGAGTCAGTTGAAGTGTTATGCCATTACATGTTTGGCTTGTTATCTGTATGTCAATGTTCAGTGTTTATGTGGATATGTTCTGTATGTTTACCAAAAATTGTAGAGTACTTATTAGCTTGTTTGATGTATCTATCATTACAGTTTCATTAGTTGCTACTTCCTGCACCTAAATTTTTCTCAGATTGAAATGTGAATTGCAGCCAAGACCTTACTAAACGAACTTGAACATCTCTTGGAGGATTTATCTGGTGCAATTCAAACTGCCAATGAATGTTTATCACCTTTGAATAATGAAGATTGCTGTGATCAATTGTATCAAGAACTAACCATTGATCAGGTTGGTGAAAGATGTTCATCAGATGTCTTATTTTATGTTTAGAATATTCATTCTCTGTTGCCCATTATCCCTTCTTTTATATTCCAAAGGTCGGAAAGTTAATATTTTATGGGCCTAAAAAATTGTAGACTAGATTTCTGTTTTTATCTGTTGAGGATAATGTCTATCTAATTTCTATGATCCTTTATATTTGATCCCTTCCTTTCAATTGATATTTTCTAATGGTAATGCCAGCATTTCCATATCGCTATTTGTATGTTTATTTGTATTAGTATACATGGATTACCAAATTACCAAGTTAGTAATGTATCTTTAGTTTCATAGGCTCTTTAAATCATTTTGTTGGGAGTTAACTATACAGTCTCATAGTTTAGCTCTGATTTGGTGCAGATTTGAGGAATCTGTGAATGCTCTTTTTCTTTTCTTTTTTTCCCTCGAGGGATCCATTGATGCTCTTGTTCTCCATAACATTTTGCTGCTATGAAAGTTCAATTACATATGAGATTTTAAAACATTGTTATTTGCAGTAACCTTGTATTCCTTAGAATCCTGCTAATAGAGAATTATCTAATTTCTTTCCAAGAATAACTAGGATGCCCTTATTTATTTGCAAAGTTTAGGCCAGATTTTAACTGTGTCTATATTAAAACATCCTTGGAATAATAAACTTGGTTGATTTACAAATGGTAAATTTGTATTAAATTTTCAATTTGTTTATTTATTTTTATTTTTTTCCCACTAAGTTGCTCTCTTAGCTGTCTAGTGAATATACTGATACTAGAGGAAAAATGGGTGCTAAATTCATCTAGTTTTGGCAAAATGAGTGGTCTTTGAAGCTAAACAACAACAAATGAAAATCCTTAATTCCATTTGTTTTAATTTTTTGTTATTCGTATGGAAGACAATTCTGTAAACCAGTAGATTATTTCCAAAACCTTCCTTTTGATTTTGGTTCATGATTCCTTTTTCTTCAAATTTAATTCCAAACTGCTTAATTGTAGTCACTTGTTCTAATTAGTTTTGTGAAAACCCCTTGTTTTGATTTTGTTTTGAGATACCATTTCCCATTAAAGTTGATTAACACGTAACTGCCTAACTTATTTTTGTTAGGTGGAAAAATCATCATTTGATCTCGGAGAACTTGAAATGACACATTATGTTGTATTGATGGGGATCATTTACAGTATGGTAAAGCAAGACTATGTGATGCAGGTAATTAGCTTCATCATGAATTGATTTTCTGTTATGGAGATGACATCTCATTAGACCTTGAAGTGAGAGATGTTATTATTTATTGCAGGAGAGGATTGTTAATTCGTTAAATTTCAAATCATTGTCTGGAGAATTGGAGAGCTATTGTGTAATGTGGTCCTTGCGTCCTTTTATCAAGGATGAAGTTATGCATCATGCCTGGAGACTTATACGTTAGCCATTGAAACTGTTTTTAGTGTAGATCGCAACTTTATAGCAGAGCATTTTGTTGTACATTTGAGAGTGTACTTATGAAACACGTGCCGTTCCTTATATTATATTTTTTTTCTTCCGTTCTGTTTGCTTTGTTGTGTTGTTTGTTTGTTCATTGTATATCAGTGCTTGTGAGTAAAATATAATTTAGTCCCTCTTGTTTAGAGAAATGAAATATTTAGTTTCTCTCGTTTCAAAAACTAATCCTTTAGCCTCTCATGTTGAAATTGTTGACGCTTCTGTCTAATTTATAGCTAATACTTAAAATATCCTTTAGAATATATATACCCATTTTGAAAATGAAGCAAACCCACTCTTCTTTCTCCCTTGCTATATTTCTTGCAAAGATGATGCTTTCTCTCACACTTTGAATCGTTGTGTTTTGTCTGTCTAATTTGTTCTTAGACAAGCTTAACCTTCATACCCCTTTCTGCCTTTGTTGTTGATTTCTCTCTCACTCTCTTTCAATCTTTTTGTTTTTCTCTTTAAGTTCTTTCTTAGTTTACATTAACAATTCTCCTTTTCAATCGCAAAATCAGAACTCCAATTGACTTGTTAAGGTTAGTTTAAACTTTCTATTGTTAGTTTTTAATTGTTTAATGTGGGTTGTTGTTGGTTTGGGTTTTTCATATGTTTTACGGAATGAGTTTTGAAAAATAAAATGAGATTTTATTTAATATGTTAATGTTGGTAGAATGTGTCAAATTTTTGATTTATTTATTGCAATTTTGATGATTTGTATATCTAGAGTTTACAAAATTGAGGATTTGTAGAATTGTTTTTTTTTTTTTTTTTTTGTCTTTATATAATGGGTTTTTTTCGGTTCCAATTATCTGGCTTAATGAATTTTTAAAGCAGGTGAGGTATTATATCATGAAGATGGTTTTTGACATGGATTTAGAAAATGTTAAATGCTTGGAACATACAAAAAAATATTGCTACTTGAATTTGCTAACAGATGTGTATAAGTATTTCTGTCCCCGTTCTGACATTGTCAATTTAATTACTGGTTGTGTAAGATCTATTGCAAGTGACGAGGATTTGATTAGTGTTTTTAAATATTATAGTTATTTGGACCTTCAGGAGGTGTCCATACTCATGGAAGATAATGACATTAGTATTCCATCGAGTGTGATATTACCTAAAAAACAAAGCCATTTACCTATCAAGATAAATAGTTATGATTTATTGAAGAAGTTGAGTGAGACTTGGATCAAAAAGCTTTTACAAAGGGGATGTTAGTGGAGTGAATGTGAATGATGGTGGGAATATAAATGTTTAAATGTGAATGTGGAGGTGGTTGACATGAATATTGATATTATTGATGGTGGAGTCTGTGGGTATGGAAAAATGTGTTGAAAATATCAATATTGATGGAGTAGATGTTAAAGAAAGAATGGAGAAAGTTTCTGAAAATATTAAAGGCGGAAGTAAAGGTGAAGATCAAAAGGTTTTATGGGAATTAGAGGAAGAGGTTTAGTGGGTGCAAGTGTTAAAAGAGAAAATGGACATACAAATAGAGAGGTACATCTTGACTTAACTAATGTTAATAAAAATAAGAGAGTCAAGAAAACAATTTGTTAACGAAGAATATGAGTTTGTTGATTAGGATTATGATTTGGTGATGATGGAGATTGAGATGTAGCTAGAGTGATGTGGGCATCTCAAATGATGTTGATAATGAAGATGTTGATGTAGGGTTTAGTGATTGTGGATCAGATAATTCTATCGATAATATAAGTTTCGAGGATGAACAATTTGGTGAAAATCTTATATAAATCCATTAAAAAAGTGTAGTGCATAGAGGTTTAAAAAATCAGGTCTTGATGAGGAGTTTGACTTTGTTTTTAGTTATAGCTCTAAGGATGAAGATGAGTGTAGACATGTATTAAGGACTTATGAAATTTGTGATGGCTATCCAATTCCAAGAAAAAAGAATGATAAGGTTAGATTGGTTGCTTATTATGAAGAAATAGGTTGTGAATGGAAGTTTTATGCATCACAAACATAATAAATCCTTTATGATAAAAACTTTAAATGATAAACACACTTGTATAAGGCTAAGTGGGTGGTGTAATGGTAATATTAATTCAAAGTGAATTAAGAAGGAATTAGCAGAATAATTGAGGAGCGATTCAGATATGAGTTTTGATATTATAAAAAGCTTGTTTGCTAAATAGAGGGTTGATTGTTTGCTAAATAAAAGGTTGATTCAAATGAATGTTAGTTGCTAAGGGTTAAGTTACAAGTAAAATTGGCCAATGAAGGAACACATGGAGATCTTTTTATTACCTAAAAAGGGACATTGAACTACTATAGCACACAAACCTATGGATAGTTGTTGAGATTGAATACATGTAACAATATATATCTTATGCATAATTTAAAAGGGTATTCATTTGCTTGTATGATATGAAAGTTGGGTTTCGAAAGCAGTAAGATCATTTATTGGAATGGATGAGTCATTTAAAAAGAATATATGGTCAATTGCTTTTATGTGTAGTGGGACTTGAAAGAAACAAAGTCCCTTTTCTTATTGCCTTTGTAATGTTGAAAGTGAGTCCAATTAATCTTGGTTGTTTTTTTTTTTTTTTGAACATTTAAAGACATGTATTAGTTTGGAGAGTGATGTAAGACCTTGGACTTTTATGATAGATAAACTAAAGGTACTAAAAAAGAATATTTCAATATTTTTGTTTGTTTTTGTTATTAAAATTTATTAGACATGTATTGATTGTGTTGTCTTTTATGCATAAATAGTATCCGATCAATGCAATTGGTCAAGTATTTTCTAATGCAATTATAAATTTTGTTATAGACATTTGTTCATAGGGGTGTTCGTTCGGTAATTCGGTTCGGTTTTGAAATTTTTTGATCGGTTTTTGGTTAATCGAATTGTCCAAAAAAATAACCGAAATCGAATCGAATTTTTATTCGATTTTTCAGTTTGGTTTCGAAATATACCGATTTTTTAATTCGATAATTCGGTTTTCGCCTATAATTAATACTCAATATCATATGTTGATTCGATTAATAACTTAATTAGAATTGCATCGATTTCATGATCTCAACATTCACTCAATGATTAACCTTTTTAATGATAAGTGACAAGAACCCATATATCGATAGACCTCATCCAAATTTAAAATAGGCTACAATGCTACATCACTATTCTCTATACTTCAATAATGAAAAAGCAAGAATGTCAAATAAAAATTCAATTTCAAGTATTCAACAAAATAAAAAGTTAAAAACATTAAAACGATAATTCAACATTCCTAAATTACCAAGTAACATTAATAATTTAACAAAGTAAAAGTAACAAACTAACAACAAGAAGCCAACAATACAAAACTAAGTCACTAATAACTTACCAAGTAAAATAATTCAAAAAACTCCCACAAGTCATAACCACCACAATCCACAACCACAAATAGACAAGTGCAAGCAAAAGGTTTACCAAATAACAAATCCTGCAAAGAAAAGAAAAAATGTCAATTCTATAAAATATAAAGACATTTACAAATATACATGGACACACATAAAGATAATTCGTTAGAAATTTACCCATGTCACTCAAAAGATCAAACCACCATCCATTTATCATATATCTATCATAGGTGCATTCGTTGAAAGTTTTAATAAATCTGAAAAAAAGATCAATACTTTAAGTCTTTAATATTAATTTGGAAGGAAAAAAGACAAATGAAAATATAAGAATTGAAAAACTTACCTACTTCAAGTTTCTCAACATCTTGTAAATCTTCTTCAGTAGTAATTGGCATTGAATTTTGAAACCAATCTTGAGCACATACAAGAGATTGCACAATGCTAGGAGTTAAAGAACTCCTAAAGGCATCAAGAACTCTTCCTTCGGTGCTAAATACCGATTCTGAAGGAATGGTAGATATTGGAACCGCCAACACATCACGAGTCATTTGTGAAAGGATAGGAAATCAAAGAGAATTGTTTTTCCACCACTCCAAAATATCAAAATTTTCATCCCCAATTTCGATAGATTCATAAAGATACTTATCTAATTTTGATCTTTTATCTCCTTCTTCATTTTCATTGAATTTTTGAAATCGTGACATTCTTGCAAGTTTCTTGTTTTTTTCTTCATGACATCCATTACTTCACTTCCACTTGAAACTTCCGTAATCCCACTACTTTGACCACTAAGACCTTGATTTGGTGATAAATTGCAATATGAAGCATACAAGGCACATATAGATTCTCTCACATCATTTGCCATCTTTTCTTCAAGCCAATCACCATGCAATTCGTTTAATGTAAGTGCAACATAAACAAGTTTATGTGTTGGATCAAACACGGCTCCAATATAAATCAACTTATTCATTTTCTTCATATCCCCCTAATACTTATAAAACTTTTCTCTCATTTTACTAGCCATTAAACAAGTATCATCATCGGCATACTCTTGCCATTCTCTCAAATCAGCTTCAAGTGTACAAATTTCATCAAAATAATTATTAGAAGTGACATATGAATGACCCGAAATAGACAAAGTAAGGTCATAGAAATTTTTCAATATATTCATCATCTTCCTATAAGTCCTCCAATCTCCGACACTAGGTGGTCCAAATACCCCATCACCAAGATCCATATTAAGTTTAATACCATATAAATGATCAATTTGCTCATATCTCTTAAAAGCTCTCTCAAACTTTTGAGTTGAATCTAACATCAAATAAGTTGAATTCCATTTAGTTGAAACATCTAGATGTAATAAAATTTTGGAATCAATCTTTTCAATATCTATGCATTCCTTAAATTTTCTCAACCTAGCGTGAGATTGTCTAACATACCTCACAGTCGCTCAAACACGAAAAATAAAAGGATTTGCATTTTTTAACCCATCAAAGACCACAAGATTCAAAATATGAGCCATACACCTCATATGAAGTAATTCCCCATCTAAGATGCTATGACCCCAATTATTAAAAAAATCTTTCAAATATCTAATCGCCACATCATTTGAACTTGCATTGTCTACGAGTAATAATGAAAACCCTTTCAATTCCCCAATCAATCAAACACTTTTCAATTACACTACCCAAATCAATACCCTTATGACCATAATTCGGATAAAAAATCAGAATTTTTTTATGCAACTTTCAATCATTGTCAATAAAATGAGTCGTTAGACACATATAATTAATTCTTTGAATATACGTCTATGTGTCCGTAGTGAGACAGAACTCTTTGACAATTATTTTTTAAAAATTGCTTCAACTTTAATTTCTCATATATATAAAGTTGATAACAATCTCTTGAAATGGTAATCTGTGATGGAATTTTAAATCTAGGATGTACAATTGACATAAACCACCTAAACCCCATAATCTCTACGAATTTGAAAGGAAGTTCATCCATGACAATCATGGAAGCTAAAACATTTCTAATTCAATTTTGATCAAACTTTCTTGTGCTAAAAGTGTTTTGCCCTCCTTGAACACTTGAATTAGATTGAAGGTTCAATTCTGGTTGGGTAGGGTCAAGCATATGTAGGTGTTTTTTGCATATGGCCATATGCGATTTAAGTGCAATAGTACCATTTCTAGTAGGATGAGCAACGAAATACCTTGTCACGAGTAATTACATCTCCCCTTGACGTCTTTATTTTCATCTTCAAACTTTGTGAAATGGTCTTATACAATTGACCTTGGCCTCATTGCTCTTCTCTTCATCTTTGTGTTCAACTACATGTTTGATGGAGAGCCAGCGACGAATTGTATCTCGTCGCTGGGCTCGGTTCTAGATGGGTTAAACTCGTAACTTTAGCATCGAAATCTAAGGATCCCAACATCTACACAAATTCAAGAATATATTTAATTAGAAATGATTATTAAATACAAGTATATAGTATTAAAAGTTTAAATTTTAAAATAGTGGGCGGTGTCCACTAGTTAGCCATCGCCCATTGGCCTACGGCGCCGGCTAGCCCGTTAGCTTGGCCGGTGCTTGCAAGCTCGCGCGGCTGTGCCCTCCGGCCGTAGGCCTATTGGCCGGTGGCCACTAGCTGCTAGACCTAGATTGCTAGCCGGCTAACCCAAGCTCCTACCGGCTATTGCAACACAAATTACACAATTCATAATTTTTTCGGATCTTATTAGCTACTAGCTCAAGTTTTAACCAATTAAGTGAATCAACCATATGTCCATAATAGTTAACACTTACAGTATATAGAGTGAGAGAGAAAATGAGAGTATGGTTACTTACTTTAGGAGCGTGAGGCCGTGATTACGATTTGTGAAGGGTGAGGGCTGATCGACCGTCGACCGAGGCCGTGAGAGGCCGAAAGCGAGATGAGGCCATGAGGGTGCCGCAAAGGTCCGGTCGTCCAGAAGAGATTGGAGAGTGGAGAGGACTAAGGAGTGATGAAGAGACCGAGGAAGGAGAACAAGCAAAGCAACTACTAAGTAAGAAAATGCCGAACCGAGGTCTCGCTCGGTTATAGTGAGGAAGATGAAGACACGAAGAGGATTAGATCTAGAGGAAGTGAGGAACACTCGATTTTAATTTTTAGGTTTGTGATTTGTGATTCTTATTTCTCGAGTGATGGTGAGGACCGAGGAAGATGAAGTCACGAAGAAGAGGATTAGATTTAGAGGAACACCCGATTTTAATTTTTGGTTTTATGATTTGTGGTTTGTTAATTCACTCAATTCGGAACGGAAAAGAGTGAAAGAACGTCGTTTCACTCATGAATTAAAAAAAAAGTTTAATAATTTGGTTAACTGGTTTGTTTAAAAAAAACTAAAATCAAAACTAAAAACCGATTATATATCGATTCGTTTTTTTTTAATTTTTTTTTTAAAAATGGCACCAAAATTGATATTTCGGTATGATTCGGTTCGGTTTTTTTATTTTCATCGAATAGTGAACACCCCTATTTGTTCATAAATTTTTAAAGTAAGTTTGGGTCTTTATTCTTATTAAAGACTCGACTTTTGAACTCGTTTGTAGAGCAATTTGTCCCTTTTAGTT